TTTCATCCAATTTCTGTTCTTCACTTGAAACACATTCTCCATATATAAAGATCCTATTTCTCACATTCATTTATATACAACAAGTTTGCTATATGCACTCAAAGTCATAGAAGAAAATGATATTCGTATGGCATTATCTCAACCAAGTACTTTAAAAAGTAGCTGAGTAGGCCGGGCGCGGTGGCTCAAGCCTGTAATCCCAGCACTGTGGGAGGCCGAGCGGGGTGGATCACGAGGTCAAGAGATCGAGACCACCCTGGTCAACATGGTGAAACCCCGTCTCTACTAAAAATACAAAAAAAAAAATTAGCTGGGCATGGTGGCGCGTGCCTATAATCCCAGCGACTCAGGAGGCTGAGGCAGGAGAATTGCCTGAACCTGGGAGGCGGAGGTTGCGGTGAGCCGAGATCACGCCATTGCACTCCAGCCTGGGTAACAAGAGCGAAACTCCTTCTGCAAAAAAAAAAAAAAGTAGCTGAGTAATGAAGATTAGACGCTTGGATCAACCTATTTTAACTATAATTCCCTGTAAAAACAAACCAGTCCACCAGAAGGCTGGTGCCCCAGGAAGCACTCTAGAGTTTGTAAGTAAGGGCTCCACCTTGCTTTCCCTTATTGTGAACATCAAGAGCTCAAGCAGGACACAGTCACATGAAGGACTCCTTTAACCCGGGGATGGACCAAAGTTATCTCAGAAATGACCAATATATTCATTAACCTTTTTGGTTCTAAATTCAGCTTCTCAATGTAACAAATACCTGACCAGACAGGTAAAGGCTGCCCAATCCATACCACTAGGACCAGCACCCCAAGATGGGTCAGTTAGGGTCCCCATTGCTCACTCTCCTCAGTCTCTCCTTGGGAAAATATCTTCCTCCATAGCAGTGAATGAAACAATTTCTACATTCAAATTATTTAGTGAAATCTCTGTAGAGAACATGCTTTGGGATCTCAATATTAGCATAGAGTCACCTAAAGTATAGCTGTGTGAGCTGAGAGATGGAATTTTTCATTAGATCCTAAAAATATAAAACATACATTAAAAACAACTCTCAGACACATGTGGTAGCTCATGCCTTTAAGGTGGGCAGATCATTTGATGTCAAGAGTTCCAGACCAGGCTGGCCAACATGGTGAAATCCTGTCTCTACTAAAAATACAAAAAATTAGCTGAGTGTGGTAGCAGGCACCTATAGTCCCAGGACCTCCAGAGGTGGAGGAGGGAGAATTGCTTGAACCCAGGGGGTGTGGAGTTTGTAGTGAGCCGAAACGTGCCACTGCACTCCAGCCCGGGAGACAGAGAAAGATGCTGTCTCAAAAACAAACAAACAAACACTCCCAAATATCCTTTACTTGAAAAATCCTTTCACTGTGTCTTTTGTACTTAAGGAGGAGACACTCAATGTATCAACAAGCTACTAAGTGCTTTACCTGCTAACCAAAAACAGAGCCCATGTTGGTGCTGCTAAGAACCCACTCCAGGCAGAGAACACCTTCTGACGGTGCTCTTTCTCCGCGATAAAGTTAATTTTTCAGCAATTAATAACTTCTATATTACTCTAAGGTATTTCTTAAAATCCTACGGAAGATGAGAAAAACAAGTTTTGATTTTCTAAGGGGCAGGTCCATTACTGAAACAAAAGCCACTGTAAATTATCTTTGGCATATACTTTTTGCTACAGCGTCACCACTGAAAACCATGGAAGAGGGGAGGAACACATCAAGTTATCCCATTGGCATGACCCGCAGACGGGCTGTGGCACAGCTTCTCATTCTCAGTCCTTAACTTAATCAGCAGAGTGGCAGGACGAACAGCAGTTTGTCTATCCAAATACCAGGGCAAAATACTAACTGCTTTATTTAGTTAGGCTTGCACGCATACCTCAAGTCAAGGCTCCATGCCTGCCCTTCTTTAACAGACACAGCTGAGCCAAATGTGGCAGCCAATCATAAAAGCCAACTCCTCATTTTAAATGTGAGGATTCCGAGGCCACGTCAAACAACCTATAAGAAATAGATGCTATACAGACAGTAAGGTATGGATGGAGAGATGAACAGATGAATGGACAGGTAGATGGATGAAGGACAGCACAGAAGTAGACATCAGGAATTCCTCATTCTGTTTCCGCTTCATCATCAACTATTTCTTTTAAAGCTAGGCAAACCATTTCATTTTTCTGGGGCTGATTTCTCTTACCTATGGGGTGATTATCCTAAAGGCTCTCTCAAGGCCCCTCCTAGCTCTCAAAGTCTTTGATACTATAAAACTATTGAATTTTCCAAAATGATTCAATCTGGTCTTGGCAATACCAGGGCCATTTTGCCAGGATTACCCAGAATTCATGGCACTGTAATCATGGAGGGGTCTTGGGAGGTCTTATTCATCCAGAGATCTGGCAACATGTGGGCATCCTGATTCACATGCAGTGTCCTGTCTTTATGTTACATTGGAAAGCAACTGTGAGCAAAGCTTACCATAGAGAAGTTCCCACCCTGAATGAAGACGTTCAAACAATAAGAAACCGGTATACTAAAATTAGCAGTGATGGCCCCTCTTCCTTCATAGGGCAAATAGAAAAGTCAGCATTACCCAAGCCACCCTGGGAGTCTGCGTGCACTTGACTTTTTTCTAGAAGTCGCTTGTGAAATGTGAGACTCTCTACCTGAGGCTATTGCACCTCTTTATATCAGACTTATACTTATTCCACACATTTAGTTTTTCCCCAGACCCCAAATTCCACTTGGCAGGGAAGACTGTGTAAAAATGGATGCCTCTTTGGTGCAAATCCCTTCTGTCTGCTCAGAGGGCGCTTCTCCATGTAACAACTGTTTTCTTAAGTTATAAAACAGCAGGGGCAGAGTAAACTGTATATACAGGCAGACCGTTACAATCACATAGACGTTTTTTCCCCCTCTGGCTGCCAATTCTTAAAAGTCAGAGTAGCCACCATTTGTTTTCTGAAGCTCAGCCACTTTGTTATTTCTTTGAATGTTACAGGAAATGCTGGCGGTGAGGCGAAACCCAGCCTTCTTTATGCATGAGGAAATAGCAGAAGTAAGGGTTATACCCAGGGTCACCTGGCCTCAGCATCTTCAGGCTGCTCGGCATTTGAACTGCCTAAGAGATGGCTGTGGCTTCTATTTCTAAAGACAGTGATTCTATAGCCTCTTGAAGGAGCCCTTCTCTAAGTGCAGTTACCCACAAACTTAACTTTCTTACACCTAACAACAGCCTCCCTCCCAGCCAGGCATCTTGTATAATTCAAGCCTGCTTCCTCTTTGGTCCTCTGTGGAGAACAAACTCACTTTGGTGTTTATGTTCTGTTTAATGCAGGGTTACATTAATGTAGGAATGTCCAGGTTGACATTCCTACTCTGGAAGCCTAGAAGGAGATCATAGTCATTCCCTAGGCCTGTGTGGTTCCGTCTGTGTCTATAACCTACTTCTCACCCATAAAGAAGAATCAGGGTCTATTATCAAGCCCCAGAGTCTCTTGAGTCTAGACACGGCCAGAAAGTCTTGATCAGAAAAAGCTGAGAGGACCCTCTGGGGAAAAATGCACTCAGATGTGGAGGGAGTCACTGAGCCCAGCAAGCGGAAGGAGGGGATGCGGACAAGGAACGCCACATCCTGGGGGGCTGTCCCTGGTGGCCATGTTCTCTGCAGGGCTCCATCCATTCAGGGACTTTGGGAAAGTAGATGCAGTATGGGGAATGGTTCCAGAAGGCGATCCAAATGCCATGAGGTTGTGGCCAGGACCAGAGGGAAGGCTGCCAGAAAAGCTGCCGTGATGACAGGAAAGCCTGCAGAGAGCTGCCTTAAAAGCCCACCTAGAAGCCACCACGTGGAGAAGGTCAGCTAGAGGGGCCTGGAGCCATAGCCAGAGATGAAGACAGGGATGCCCTAATGCGGATCACTAACATTTCCTGCCTCCATTCTCTGCATCAGGCACCTAGCATCATTGGGCTTGATCTTATAAGAAGCTGTCGTTATGATCTCCATTTCACAGAAGAGGAAAGCGAGGTTCAGCAAGGCTCTGTAACTCACTGAAGGCTTAAGAACTCCACTGGATTGCCCATAAAGTCCAAATTCTTAACCTTTTCATTTTATGACCTGACCTCCCTGCATCTTGGCTTTTGGGGACAGTAGGAAGCGCTGTTTTTCAATATCCCTCACTCCAAGATGAGAGTGTATTAATTTTCCACCAGGGACCTGATACGGTTTGAAGACATCTGGATGCTGGGCGGGGGTGCTGGGCAGCTCCACAGACCTGGAACTGTAACCCAGCCTCAGATCCTGGGGAAGGGTGTGGTTCTGGAAAAGAGTGCTACTCTGGTGTTTACTCAAAGATAGTCATTAAGTCACTGTGAAGACATCTTTTCTGCAGACTAAACAACCTCACTCCTTTTTTAAAGAGCTTTCCTCACAGGAGCTATTTTTTGGTACTATCTTTCTGTATTTACTGTTTTTCTCCAGACATTCTTCTACCCTCCCACTCTCTATCTTAAACATGCCTGTAATAAGATTTTGATCTGTGCCATAGAAAGAAAAGGGTCATTTTCATAGTTGTCATCTCTGGCCCTCATGAATTAATAAAAGGCCAGGATAGATGGTAATTACTCCCTTGTGGTCTACTCTGACCCTCAGGCCTCTTTGGGCTGCCTCTGTGCCTGGCCCATCTTCCATTTACTGGTTGTTTCTGATCCTGTTGAACTTTACTGTATATTGAGGAAGTAGTCCTTAGTTTCATGCTGCCCTGAATGGGCTGTAACATGCAGTTGAGTCAGCCTAATTTCCTTTTGCCCTCTAAAAGGATGCTTCAAAAAGAGCCCAGTGCGCAGAAACAAGCTTTGAGTAGCAAGAATGTTGACAATGCAACTTTTGACTTTACAGGGGCCTGACATCCCCCTGGGGGAAAGGTTGAACCCAAGGATTCTGAGACATGGTCCCTGAGTATACCAGCCTGGAGGGTGTACCAGCCCCAAGCGGGTGAACTTACTTCGCGGTTCTCGGGGCCCGTCCACTGTGATTTTGATGGCTCTGTGGTAGGTGGCAACTTGTGGTGGGTTTGTGAAGACAGTGATGGTCAGAGTGAAGCTTTTCCCTGTTGGGACACAATAGAGAACAAAAAAGAATGAGGTGGTGGCCTGATCATAGCTGTTGAACAACCAATCATTAATTTATGCTTTCCAGCCCTTCAGCACAAGTTGCCAGTTTTAACAACACTCCCGGGATTTTGGCTTAAATTCTGGAATGCACATTTATGATACTTGCATAGGTGTAACACTTCACATAGTTATATGGCTTTAATGTAATCATTAATAAACAATACAAGATCAAGAAAGATTGGGATTTATTTTCTGTTAAGTCAAGATTTCAGGAAACCATAGAGTCAGACTGGCTGTTCTCCACCCCTGGTTCCTAACTTCCCTGCTCCCATCTTCCCCAATTATTTATAACTCAGAGCAAAGAAGAGTAGAAGAAGCCATATCCATCTTTCTCTTCTTACTTTGTTCTTTTGAAGATTAGGAAAGATAGGATTTCTAAGTTTGAAGATGGGCTAAATTAGAATTATTCTCTCTATATTTTTAAAAGACTAAGTCTGGCTGATTTAAAATATTATTTGAAAATGTCAGATATTATTAGAGTTACTCATGGGATCCGCCAGAACAAAACAGATGACTCGTAAAGGGACTTAAGCATATGTAACTGAAAGACTGAGATTTGATAAGTACTAGTAATAAAAAACACACATAATTTCCATGTACACGTTTTATGTATATTTATAAAAGGTGAGAACATCTCCATTGCATATATTTACTAATCTAAAAACATTTCTTCTTGGTCAAGTGGTTCAGAGGATAAATCTGGCTGGCTGACCTTTGGTAAGTCACTAGACACCTCCATGTTCCTCAGTATTCTTACCTGGAAGATGGGTACATGCAAATTTTCCTACCTTAGAGAGTATTGTGGGAGATTAAATGAGTTACTATGAGTAACACTGTTAAAATAGTATCTGGCACATGGTATTCAAAGGTGTGTGTGTGTGTGTGTGTGTGTGTGTGTGTGTGTGTGCTATGTCTGCTTTATTTATTTCTCTTCTCTGCTTCTCATGGGTCTAAAACAGGACCCTAACATTTGATTAAGTCTGATGTTCAATCTTCCTACATCAATACAGTAGTTCTTTAATCAACACAGTTTCTCCTGTTAATCACGTAGCACAAAGTGAAATCAAACGTAAATGAAAGGAAACCGAAACATGCCCATCCACTCCCTTACCTGCTCTAAAAACCATTCACCATTTTAAAACTCAATGACCTTTCCTCTCCAAGTTAGAAAGAGCAAATCATTTTCAACTGTCACACATGTCTTAACACAAAGGAAGGCCCCAGAAAAATTCTTAACGAAAATAAAATCTTTGGCCACAGCAAGCCACGATTCCTAATCATGAGAAACCTCTATCAAACACTCCCCAAGGATGTGGATTCTATCTGTATTAAAGTCTATAATAAAAAGAGCAATAGCAAGTACCAATTAGATAAAGAAGCCCGCTCTGCCTGCTGTGCCTTTATAACAACAGTCTCAGCTGACCTGTCTAGTAAACGAGGTGAGAATACTTCTGGGGAGTGATTTCCACTGGGTAGAGCATCAGGGGTGCCAGGTGGCTCTGCCTCCAAATCCATCTTTCCCATCAGCTAGCCTGTCACCGAATCCTAGAGATGAGTCTTGTTGGGCTTTGGGGATTTGCCAGCTTTTGGACATCCTTCAGATGCTACCAGCTAACATTCTGGATGCTTTCCTACCCTGGCATCTAGCTGAAGGAGAGGAGTGGGCAGAAGAGGCCTTGGCCAGGCCCAGCAAGCAGGGCACGTGATGCGACGTGGTGGAAGATGCTGCTGCAGAAGGAGGCACATCCTGAGGGCAACTGCCCATCTCACTGGGCAGTCTCTGGCTTTCCAAGATCACATCCAGGAGCAAGGGCAGCCAGAGCCTGGGAGCAGCCACACCCGTGTGATCCACAGCTGGTCCTGCAAGCCTCATGATCAGCCTGTTCCCTTTCTGTCAAGAACCCACAAAGTTTATCACCTGTATCATCAAGACTGAATTCCAGAACCAGTTTGTAGGATCTTCTCACTAGTAAGACCCTGCCTGAGTAATTTCTCACTCACCCCCTCCCCTCCTCACACCTGATTCCCGATGTGCATCCTCCCAGTTCCATCCACAAGCCATGGCATTGAGACGTGGAGGTCTCCCTTCCTCCACCCACTTCACCAGCCGTCCAGGGTTCCTTGCTGGGCTCTTCACTCCAGTCTTCCTGCCTTCAGCATTTGGCAACGGGCAGTTACTTGTTTTCCAGGCAGCCTTCCCTGATGACTACATTTTGCTTTATGGCTGTTTGCGCTGCCTCATAAATCATCCTTCACCTTTGATTATTTAGGGTGTCAGACTGAACAGGGTTTGTGGCTGTGCAGCCCTAGTCTCCCAGAGGGCGGGGTCCTTTTCTATACACCCACGTAGCCCTCACAGATACGTGGGAAAGGGTGCAAGTGGGAAGGGGCTTTAGGAGAGAAGGGGGATTTGAAAAAAATTTTTAAGACCCTGAAGGCACAGCTATAGATAATGCCATTGCCTCTGTCCTGAGTAGGTATAGGCATGTGTGTGTATGAGAGAGAGAGAGACAGAGAGAGATTGAGGTGGTTCTTTCAGCAAGAGAGTTACAGGTTTGAGAATCCAATACAAATGATTTAACTCTTCAGATCTCAGTTTTCTCATCAGCAAAATGAGGGGGTTCATGAATGCACGCAATGTGCCTTTCAACTCTCTGATTTCATCTTCCAAGAATGCAGCTGGCCTGGGATGCCCACAGCCACGTGTAGGTGGCAGATGCACGTGTGATTCTTCTGTTGCCTACAACTTTAGCATCTCAATGACTTCATAAAAATGCTGTATTCATTTCCTGGGGCTGCTGTAATAAATCATCACAAACTGGGTGGCTTAAAACCACAAAAGTCTAGACTTTCATGGTTCTGGTGGTCAGGAGTCCAAGATCAAGGTGGCAGCAGGGCCACACTCCCTCTGAAGGTTCTAGGGAGGACCTTGCCTCTTTCCAGCTTCACTTGGTGGCCAGTGTTCCTTGGCCTTTCCTGATGTGCAGCTGTAGCACTCCAACCTCTGCCTCTGTCTTCACACGACTGTCTTCCTACTGTGTGCCCACCCCTCCTTGTAAGGACCATCAGTCATTGGACTTAGGGCCCACCCAGGTCCAGCATGACTTTATCTTAACTTGATTACATCTGTAAAGACCCTAAGCCATATTTTGAGGCTCTAGGTGGACACACATTTTTTAGAGAACACTATTTAACTCAGTACAAATAGCCGCTGTCATAAAAGCTCCCATCATGGCTCTGCCAGTGACACTGGCTCTACAGTTACCTGTGTGTTTTACCCTCTGGAGCAGTCCTGCTCTGATGGTGGCTCTCCTACCACCACCCTATCCACGACTTCCCAAATGACAACAAAGAATGGTTGTGTTCATAATATTGGCATTTTTAAGTCATGTAGAACTTACAACTTTTTAAACATGTTCCCATATACTGTTTCATTTGGTTCTCACACCAATCTCACGAAATAAACAAGATGAATTTTTTTGTTCTTGATGAATAGGTAGCAAAGCTAAGGCTCAGAGAGGTTAAGTAAATTTCCCAAAGTCACACAGCTTCGCTATATGGCAGAACCAATATCCTTGAGCTTTCTCCTCATTGTTCTTCTGGTTATTGTCCCTGAGGTCATAAATCTCTATCTGCAAACCCAGTAGCACCAGTACAAGGAATCTGAACTGGAGATACTTTATCCATGCCTACCACTGCCCCAAAAAGTAGAAGCTTCCCCTGTGATCCTAATGTACACATGGTACTCAGCCTGGGTTATAGTTCAAAAGCATTTTCTTACTGAGCTGCGTTTGGACTTCTGGTGGTTGAGCATGACACCCCACCTGATCAACCACAGATGAATCTGTGTCACCAGGAATAACACTTAATCAGAGTGAGTATTTGTGAAATCGTTGCTCATTATCTGAATTCTTATTATTTCATGCCCATCACTTTATGTGCAGTCACGAGATGTTTCCACCAAGCACGCACTAACAGGTGGGGTGTTTTGGCCAGTCACAGGGTTCACCAAGGAGGAGGGTTCTGGTATTTTCCCTCACAATAGGCTCTTCTTTACAGCTTTGGGTACAAGGACATTTGCTTATTATCTTATAGACAGAGTGGTGACTTCTTCACACATAGGTAACATTTTTCCACTGTGTGGAAAAATGCAGTGGAAAAAAAACTGCCTTACTTTCCTTTGTATTTTTCCAATGAGACCCAGCACAGCCTTGACACTGGGCTGCAGCCGGGCACACCTGACGGGACCCACATACTGTGCCCTCCACGTGGCCCTGCCCTCTCCATGGCCCCACCCCATGGCTGCTGAGACACGGCCCTTCTTGGCCAGCATCTGCAGAAGTGGGATCTGTGCCTCGGAGCACACATATTATGAGCCAAATTCCCTCATTAAAATGACCTATAGGCCTGGTATTTTAAGTACATGGGTGTGGAGAACGAAAGACTCTCAAGTGTTTTTCCCAGCGAGCTGCAGCCGGAATAGTGAGAAGTCGCAGGAGAGCAAGGGAGGGCAGATTGATTAAATAGCAACAGCTCCAAAATGGGCTTTTCGGGATCAAGCGCAGGGTTGGGAGGACGGGGCCGCTGCCGAGAGAACCAGTGCTCCTGTTGGTAGCCCAGAGCTACAAGGCTCCCCGAAGCATTCAGTGGCCTTGGTATGGTGAGGCCAGCAGAAGCCTTGGTCAGTGCACAGATGGCCCCGGCACTGTCCCTGCGTGTGCTGCTGGAAGTCGGCAGCTCTTGGCTCCCGAGGGGGCTGCCACAGGGTCACCAGTGGCCTTTATGGGAGGAAGCCAAGGAAAGAGGTAAACGCCACGTCCTTCCTTCTCCTGCTCACTGAACCCTGAGCACTGCAGCAGCCTCAGCTCCAGCCAGGGCCTGGGTTCCAGGAGGACCCTTCTTTAGAAAGAAGCACACACACTTACACTGAATAAGA